TAAGGGACACTTTCAGCTTCCCAAACTCTGTGGTGTCAAGCTTCCTCATACTGAGTCACTGCCCATCTGATCCAATTTGCGGAGCGCATGACTCTGTCGAGGACGAAGAAGAGGTGGAGGACTCTTCGTCTGACTCCTTTGTCTTTGGGAGTTTAAAACATTTAGCGCACAACTTGCGATCTGTGGGACGTGTGTCCGTGAGATCGTAGTCGGCGTGGTGCCTGGCAAACGGCCAAGAACATGCAGCTCGCCACAAGTAGTGGGGCAGGCGTGGACCTGAGCGACCCACTTTGTGAACCTTCCCGTCCGGAGCAAGGTTTACGACGAACAAAGGGCATGCTGGCACAGGTACGTCAGGTACCAAAGTGTTTGCGGCTTCGCAATCAGCTAAGATTTCAATCTCTTGCGCGGTGAAGTCTGTTGTAGCCGTGCGATTTGCAGAATCCGGCACTTTGGCAAGAATGGCGCGAGTTCGGCTCTTGCAGCTGCCAGGGAGTCTGCGAAGTAGCCTCCCGTGCGAGGCCAAACAAGTGAGATAGCGGTGCTTCACGGACGTACCGAAAGAAGCAATCCGATCCCCATCGACCAAAGAGCTGTATACGCCACAGTTCAGTGAGCGTGTGTGCAAGGTGTATGGCACCTGTGGCTCTGGCCGAATGACTTCAAACCTCCTGAGGCCTGTGTCCGTGAGGATGGGAAGTTTGAGCTGTTTGCCCAAATGCTCAAACGTGTCGGCCTAGCCGGCTTTGGTCGATGTAGACCCGTCCGGTTGTGGTAGGAGGTGAAGAAAACTGTGGCGTTTGCACCATTCAACTTGGGCAGACATGCGGTGAAAGGGACATAGGCGGTCTTTGCTCTTTTCACTGCACGTGTACACGTGGGTTCTGACGGCTCCCAGAGCTTGCCAGTCTGCTTTGCTAGATGGAAGTTTCCAGTGTATCAGACCAGTGCTGTCATCTACCGTGACGTGGGACACATTGGCATAGCTTGCTTCGATTTCTCGAAGGAGCCACCACGATGCCAGCAGTGTTGCCCGGACAGGAAAAGCTGGGCCCCCCATGTGCAATAGCCGGCTCGGTGTGCTGCAGTGCTGCCAGTTTCTTCGTTGGCAGGGGTTGGGCTTGCTTGGCAGGCCCGCGGCCGCGCTGACAAGCTCGCTTGGCTTGTTTTGCTGCCAGGTTGACCTGCACTGATATGAGCTGGGCGGGCAGTTTCCAGATACTGTTCTGTCGAGCTATATCCCGCTTTGTCTAATGCCCCCGTCACTGTGAAGATGAGCTGAGGTGTGAGCACGGACGGTGTCGAGAATCCAGCTGCCGATGCTATTGCCGCCCAGGTTTTCTCATCAAATTGAATGGGCAAACGCGATGATTCAGCTTTTGGCTCGCTTTCCAATGTGTTCTGCGCACTCGTTTGGGTGCAGTGTTGCTTCGTGAAGAGCCAACTTCAGGGAGCCCCTGGAGTAAGGTTTTGGCTCCAGACGGTGGCTCTCCTCCTGCATGGTTGTGCCATGGCTTGGTGGTGCGTGGCAAACCACCGGGCCTTCGTCCAATGGCCGCAAACCTTTCGGTTGAGCCTGGGCTTCTGGCCTCTTTTGGATCGTACAGGAATCGTGAGGGACCCAAAGAGCGTTTCATGCTTGAGCCATCCCTATCACGTCCGCCACTAAGTTTCTTGAGCACGATCCGCTTTAGGAGCTGTTTGACCCGTTTTGTTTGTGTGTGTGTGTGGATTTGACCAAGCACGCAAAGGACTCCCGCGCTTTTCTTTTCGAAGGGTTTGAGCGGTCTCGGGGAGAAGCCAAACTCAGGACCTACTTCAATGGGAACGCGTGTTGCGCCCTGAAGGTTCTCAAGAAAAGGTGGAGGATTGGGGTCATGTTGTCGACTGCGAGGGTCTGCAGTCTTGTTCAGCTTGGTGTTGATGTGTTGGAGTATGGTGAACTCGTATTTCTCGTTCGCTTGGTCCAGTGCTATCTCCCTGGCGACCATCGACAGTTCTGGGGAGCTGGCCTTGCCCTTTGCAATGATGTAGAGGGCGCCAATGTTGTCTGCCTTGACACGTACCACTGACCCAATCGGGTGTTTGGTGAGCCACGTCCGAGCGGCTAAAAGTAGGCACAATGCTTCCCAGAGTCATGTGTTTCGGGATGCCAGGGATTGCCCCAGTTCGGAGGATGAATTCCGGTGGGATAGGACACGAAGAGAATTCTTTGGGTTCACCTCGTTCCAGCACAACTGCACCCAATCCCCACGTGGAGGCATCCGTAAGGATGATCACTCCCGAGGCCGGACGGAACGCCCGAAGAGTGCGCGCCAGCGGAGTCTGTTTTCCCTCCAGCACGGCTCTGATCCATTCTAGGGCGTGCCTTATGCGGCGAGTGTGCACAACATTTCTGGTTCTAAGGTTAGAACCGTCATTCGTTGTGGCAAGCACTGCCCACAGGGCTCCCAGAAACGGACGCATGAGCGGCGTAATGCCTGCAACGAAGGATAGAGCTCCCGCTAGAGATTGTAGCTGTTTTCTTCCTACAACCGGTTTTGCCTTTAACAATTACACCCAGCTTGTTGAAGGTCGGTTCGATTCCTACCTTGCACGTTGCCTCCTCGAGCGAGTCCGAAAATGAACAGAATCCTTTGTCCAGCGCATCACGAACAAGTTGGTTAAGGTCTGATTCAAATTCGTTGGCTGAAGGATGATTTTGCCAGCCTTCAAATTCTCTGGCCAGGAGTTTGGCTGCTTCAAGTTCCCACTTCATCGACTCCACCGGCGGGAATATGCCTGTGTTTGGAATAGGTTCCGAGAAACCCAGTGGTGCCCCGGTGTGTAACCAAGAGGCGAGAGTCACTGAGTCCGGATCCCCCGTGGCTTTTCCCCATGCCCAGAAAATCTCGGGTTGAAGTGGGGTACGTGCCGTGGCCGACCAAATGGGTAGACCCTCGATGTCGTTTCCCAACACTTCTAACTCCGAACTTCTCAAGTGGTTAATGAGACGTGAATCCAGTGGTTTTGCCGCTTCGCCGTTTAGGAGGTGGTCAACCTGACTGAGAACGGATTCGTGTGAAGAGGCCAGGTGAAGTAGTTCTCCTATAGCGTTTCCAAAATGTAGTGATTCTGGTATCTTAGCGGCTGATGTAGCTGGGTTTCGCATTCCTCCTATTGCTGCCTCGTCTTCGATATCTCTGAGCTTCTGAGCTCTATCCAGCAATTGCGGCCCGTAAAAATTGCCGTGCCCTCAGCTTCGTGAGGGTGCATGCTCTCCTTTCAGAGCAGTGAGCATAGCCGTTGCTCTGGACATGCTGACACTCACTGTGGCTTGGGCCAATGCGTAGTTCAGCTGTGGAGGATACTCTGCCAGCGCTTTGCTGGCTCTCTCCTTCTTCCCCTCGTCGTTTGTTCTCCATCTCTGCACCAAGGATTCGTGTGGTGCTTTGTAGGTGGAGCCGTCCGTTCTCGTCCACTGTTGAACTGGGTGGTTGCATCTGAGGTCTCCGATGCCCCAAAAGTTCATGTGGAACGACATCAGCTTCGTGGGCTTCCGAACTTCTGCTCCAAACCTACCTTGGTCAAATTCGGTGATCCACACGTTGAACTCTCTGACGAGGAACTTCAGGGGAGTGGTCTTCCATAGGTCCAGCTTGTCTTTGTGATCTGGGTTCTCGATCCAGAAGGCCCTGCCCGCTGTAGCTTGGATTTCCGCAAGCCTTGCTGATAGCGCGATGAGGCGGTTTGCCTCCTTGAGCTGAATCCTTTCACTTTCGGTCAGCTCTTCGCTTGGCAGCCCATCTGGCTTATCCAAAGATCGCAGAGGTCTTGGGCCTGGAGGTGATTCCCTGAGCGGTGATAGTGTTTCACACGGGGTTGCACATCCCACCACGTCGTACATGCCGGTTTCCGTGTCGGCTAGGATCTTGTCGAGGTAGTGCTCTGACAGCACATCGGTGGGCTCTGGCGCCACCTTGTCGACGATGACCACGATCCATCCTTCTGCTCCGAGGTAGCTAGCCAAGTCCCCGGGTCTGCTCTTGCCGCTGAATACCAACAGGCATCTCGGTTGGTCAGCCCACAGTTCCGGTTCCAGGTTTGTACAGCCGTACCTGTACTTGTGCCACCTCGTCACTTTGGGAAGGTCTCCCATGGAGGAGATGTTCTTTGCAGTGATCCACAGGGGAAAGTCGCTGATCCTTCTCTTGATGGGTGTTTTCGACCGGCTCCTGCGACGGGATTTTCTCCTGCTTCTCGACCTGCGGGTCTCACGATCGGGTTGGCTCCCGCTAGGGTGTGAATCACTGCCACGCCTTGGCGGGGGGCCAATTGGTGACGCTGGCCTCCTTTTGGATTTGTCTCCCTCTGGCTTGGGCGTAGGCGGAGGAGCTGGCTTTGATTTTGCCGATGTCCCTGGTGTGGCCGGGTCTGTCCCGGGAGCCGTAGTCAGCGTGGTGTTTCCACCTTCTCAGCTCTTCTGTCGCTTGCCTCCTGTGCACTTCGTGGCCATATGCGGGCCAAGACAAAGGTTGCACTGATGGCTGCGATTGTTCGGGCATCGGGATTGTGCTTTGCCATTGCCGCATTGATCGCGGTTGAACTTCTGACAGATCTGTACCCCCCTCCGGTTGAGAGAGAAGGCGCCAGCTTGCCCGTCCCAGTACGAAAGGTCTTCACCGGCGTACTTCCTCTTCTTCTTCTTCGGAGGTTGATCTGGTCCGACTTTCTTGCCTCCTCGGTCTGAATCGGATGAATCCCCGTCCTGTCTGGCTGGCAGGGATTTGTTCCGGGCTAGCAGTAGGGTTGCTGGTGTCACGACTTCTTTGGTCCAAAAGTCTCCTTCTTTGACAGCCTGTGCAAACACTGCTGACCAAGGGCTTGCACGGGTGTAGCCATGGTTCGGGTTCTCATCCAAGGCTCGGCGTATCCTGTCCTGAAACTCGGATCTCATACGCACGTCAGCCCTATAGATGATCCCCCAACATTCATGGCCAAACTGCCCATGAAGCTCTTTGATGTGATCTGCATACGCGTCCAAACGCTCTGAATCGGCTGCCTCCAGGAGGAGCAAGGCCGTCTTGAATGTGCGAAAGGACTTCTCCCAGTTGAAAATCGAGTCAGGCCCTGGGGCTTCGCGCTTGGACCACTCTCCTGTGGCAACATTCAGCACGTAGGAGGTGAACACTGCTTTTCTCAGTTGTCGGAGTCCGTGTGGTCCAAACACACTGAAATCGCAATACGGCAGCGCGCCACATCGCAACATTTGATTGATACCCGACAGTTGGTCTGCCGAAGGTTCCACTTCTTGGCTTGGATGGTCCCCGAACTTTGCCTTGTATGTACTATACATGCGTGCCACTTCTGACTGCTCTAGCTGAAGAATCTCAGCATCCAGCGTTGGGTCGATCACGCTGCTCAGTTTCAGCTTCCTCGTGGGAGAGGTTGGTGTTGAAGTACTTGGCAAAGGTGAGACTCCGATGGACCCTACTGGCGGTGCGGTTGACGATCCAACGTGATCTGGATTTGCACCAAGCCGAAGTAAAGTCACCCTTCGGAATATCTCGATTCGAGAAGCCTCAACTGGGGTGAGGTCTCTTTCACTGGTGGTTGTGCCCGATGAAGTATCGATCTTTAACCCTGCCACCACGTTGTCCCAGACCGTCCGGTTGATGAAGGCAATGTCCCGCAGTTTTGAGGGCTTGCCCAGAGCATCCATCAAATGTTCGTGGACTTCTCCAGTTGTGCCGGCCCAGTCTGCAACATGCTGAAGGGTGGCCATATTATTGAGCTCTGCGTCGGTGGGGTCCATGGCTGATCACAGGACCTTCTCTCAACGGGGTGAGCTCCTGGTCGAATTGGATCTGCCTCCTGGCAGATGCTTTTGGGCTTGCCACCGCAAGCCTTGCCCTTCGTAGGGTTGTAGGTGTGCCCTGCTCGGTGTTCCGCAAAGAGTAGTTGCGGTAGTTGGAGAAGGCAAGGCCTATGAGGCGGCGACGAGACACAAACCTTATGGCCTTCCTGGTGAGGATGGCCCAAGGTGTGTCACCCACTTGGAAGCGAGCTAGTGGGTTGACCACTTTCCACACGGCCCAGATGGAGTGGGCTTTCCACCCGATCCAAACACCCACCACCAGGACGCTCACGAGCACCCCGATGATGAGTGACCAGATGCCCAGATGGTTTCCCACCTGAGGGCCTGGCACCAGATCGAAGGTGGCCTCTCCCCACCTAACCAAATGGGCCATAAACGGAAAGGATCAAACCCCACAGGCTCTTGAGCCAAAATGGCCCAAACGAGCTGCGGATGGTAAGTCCCTCCCACAACTCCCCTTCTGATTATGTCTATTGTTACTTTCACAATTTCTTTGTTACACACCCCAAGTTCTAAGTTCCGACAGCGAGGAACTTGAAGGTTCCGACAGCGAGTCCAAAAACGGTAGAACTTGACCGACTGAAGTAAAGTAAAGGAACTTCCTGAACTTGGGTCACCTAGTCAGACCATTCTTTGTATAGTCTTTGACTCCCAGGGGTTCCTTTTTGGGGTTCAGTTGCTAAGGTTGAGAAATCGAAGTCCCTTCAGCACTGCGAGTCTGTCCAAGCCACCAAAGTCTCTCACGTAGGGTATGACAAAGTACATCTGATACAGAGCTTCCCCGATCGCCGGTCCCGTCCAAGTTCCGCTGCACGAGCTGGCAATTTGGCTCCTCGGTCGGCGTATGAAGCAGCCCATCTTCCGCCCAACAAACCCGGATAGATATCCAGTCACAACTCTCACACTCGAACTCAACCAATTCCACGGACCGTTGGAATAAACCATCATGCCTGCCTCAGGTTCAATCTCACAATCTCCCGATTCTCCAACAACGCCTGTGCCGAACCACCAATACTCCATCGGCGTGGTGTCCCTCGTTGGGCCCCGAGCGACGAACACGCTAGCGCGGCGCGGTCGCGTGGCGGCCAGGCGTCACTTCCTGTCTTTGAGCAGCCTGAGGCGAGAACGAGCACAGAGGCGGGGGTTCCTCCCGCCAAAGGAGAGGAACCGTTTGGGAACAGAAGCTCTCTTCCAGTTCGGACATGACCTGAAAGTAAGAAAGGTTAGATAATGTCAATAATGCAACGTCATCTTTTTTACATAACATGCATCATCGTGCATGATCAACGAGGGTCGTTCTTGCATCACTAGATCATCACAAGGGATTCATCCATTCACAATCCATGTGTGATCTGGTACCATCCATTTCAAAGATCCCGTGAATGTCTGGCATACATCGTCAGGCTTCTGCTCTGCGAAAAAACGGATCAGGTCAGTGGTTCGAGCTTTGCAGAAGAAGAATTGAAGAATAGCAACAAAAGGAACTAAGAATTCAGGAACCCATTGCATCCAAGGATCCACTTCATCACCAGACCCTTCAAAAAGTAGCAGGGCAACGCTTTCTTGGCCACTTCGAGGCCTGCGTCGACGGATGATCTGGGGCGAAGCATGTCGGAACGGGCTGGGAAAGAAAAGGGAACAGGATGGAACAAGCTTTATTCTAGCATCTGGGTGTGTATTCCGCGTATTCCAATAGACCATGGTTCTAGAATGTTCTAGACTAGTTTTGGTTTGGAGTTTTGTCCATACTTGCTTCTCCCGAATATACAGGTCCATCCTTTGACCCTGACATTTCGGCGCAGGTGACTCCCTGCATTGCGGATGCTGCTTCGTCTTGTTCTTCATGTCTTCTCCCTCCACCCGACTTGGGCAGCAGACATTCTCCACCGCGAGCGGTGCAGGTCCTGAAGAAAGAAATCGCTGCCATCCTTTGTTGGAGAAAAGCAAAGAACGCTGCAATAATCAGATCTCCTCTCGAAGCGCTTCAGCCAATTTGAACTCGCCATTGTCTAGCAGGCCTCAGGACTTTGATAGTGGCTCGGAGTCAGAAATCTTCTGCTCAGCAAAGTTGCACTAAACAAAACTCATCGAACAAACAGAAAGAAGAATCCCGGTTGGAATACAACGATGTACTCCGTTGCCACCAGCAAATGTTATTCTGGACTCTGAAGCTTACTGGGATGGGAGAAAATGTTGCAGATGCTGGCTCTGGCCACCAAGAAACGGAAGCAGGCAGGCTTCAGGGCACGTGGCAGCTGTGATACCTGGCGCATGAAGGACACCTGAGCGGCTCGCAGCCCTGGAGCCAAGTCCGTGTCATTTGGATTCGTGTCTACTGCAACACCCCTGCACTTGACCAGCGCACTTAGCGCCTTATAGGAAGAAGATGAAAAAAGCAATCGGCCAGTTGGTGAAGTCTTGCATTTCGTCTCCAAAAACATGGTCTTGCCAGGCACACACCCACCACCTCCCATTCTACTCACTCAAACACAGCAAGTAAACTTGCACTAAAAGAAATGCACCCAAAAATCATTGCGTCAAACATGGATCGAACATGGTTTGTCCGATTTCTCCGTCTATCAGTCCATCAGCCTAGTCTAGTCGTTGATGTGATGACTGTCCTTGTCTTGCCCAGCTGAGCGCTCTTGGCAGCTTTTTCATGTTTGGTTCCAGAAGAGTGACGATACTTTTCAACATGGCCACCGGCAGAGCTTCTTCTCTCCAAACCTCCCAAAACCTCCCAAAACCTTCCAAACCGACCACCGAACAACCAAGTTGGGCTCAGACCTTCCGCGCGCAGACCGAACAACCATGTGTGTTTCGGGTTTTTCTTGCTCCTGAGCGCGGCACTCCAAGATCCCAACTGGTGAACTCCAGAGATTCATACTCCAGCACCTCCGGGAGGGGATGGATCCGCACCACCGCGGCCTCGGAGTTCTCTCGGCATAGCGCGGCATTTTCCGCACCCGACACCCGGTGCGTGATGAGAAAGGGCTGATGAGAAAGGGGAGGGTGTATCGTCTAATGGAGGTTAATAGCGAGGTCTCCAGCCCCGGTTTCGGGGATTGTTTAGGATCTACACTCCCGAGTCAACTAACATAGACCCTGACAATGGTAACCTGGAAGATTGTTTTCCATTGTTTTCATCTACCAACCAGTGGTGTACTCAGGGTCCATGTGCTCGCCTTCCAGGATCTATTTGCGGCCCAGGTCTCACCCCCGTCGCTAGAGTCGCCCCGGGTCGCGAGATCCGACTCGACTCGCTCGTCCAGACGACGCGGAGGGTCGAGGCCCGACCGGCGACTCGCTGCCCGAGGGACGGTGATGACTCCAAGGCAACCTTCGCTTCCCAGCAGCAAGCCTAGTCACTGAGCAAGCTTCCGTGGGGGGAAGAAGAACATGAACACCGGAGGAAGTGCGAAAACGGACTCGGAGGGTCGAGGTCTGCCCGGCTCGAGCCTCGAGCTGGGCTTTTGGTCGACCGGACCCCTCCCTCGTTCAATGGGCCGGGCTCCAAATCCCTTCCTGGCATGAACGAATCTAAAAAAACGAGGACTGTGCAGCAGAGAGGATGCTCAGCACACACCCACCAGCAGCATGCCACGTCCTCTGCGCTCATAAGCCGCCCGAATCCCCCAGCCGTTCCACCATGTTCCACCTGGCAATTCTAAGCCGGTGGATCGGCGCCCAGTCGAGGAAGCATGCCTGGCCAGCATGCGCCAGGCATAATTCACAGGACCACCGGGTCCCACTTGGGATTTGTTGCCAGAATGTAGATGCAAGAATGTGCGTTATGTAAAAAAGTCGAATTGTCTTGCGGGGTCGAAACCAAGTGGAGCAAAATGTTCAGGGACGAAAACAGGACATCGGTGTGTATGAGAACCCCAAAGGCCACTTCGGAAGGGCAAACTAAACGCCCACAGGCCTAAGAGGTCTCGCGACGGAAAGACAAAACCTTTACGAAAGACTCACACACACAACTGTAAAATGTCTCAAAAACTCGTGGTTCTCTAAAGCGGACGGTACCTGTGTACATTGGTCCGACGGTGTCCGATCCGTTGGGGCACACGGGCACCGAAGAAGAACTGCCTGCGAAACGGCTTTGGGAAACACATGTCGCCGGTGCAAAGGGTGAGTCAGTCATTTATGAAATGGAATGAATGCTTCAACTGGGAAACGATGGGAAACGGCTTTGGTTTATTGTTCCTCTTGCAGGGGATAATTACACACATGTCTTGCTTCCACGAACGAAGCATGAAGCTTGCGGTGTGGTGTGGCCTGTCTTTCATTCCTCGCTGCCACACAAGGCCTGAGGAGGTCGCCACCCGTACCTCGTGCAAGCACCACATGGCAGGGCACAAGCGCTTCGCAAAGCCCAAATTGATTGTACATGGCTTGGAAATGCTTGCTATGGATAGAAAACAGGATTTGCAAAGCCATGAGCAAAGGATCCCCCTGAGGTCATACTGCTACTAATGCTTACAGTATAACGTTGCATCCCGTCCTCGACCAGCATCTCATCAATGTTTCCTCAAGAGACACCACGGGCAAGTCGCCAATGTTGGCGATTCAAGTCGAGTCGTGTCCCCAAACCGGTCGTGTCCCCAAACAGGTGGCACCGCAAAAGAGTCTCACAGAATCTGCGTCGCGTCAGGACCAATGACCCAAACCGGGGCCAACTTCTTTCGACCACTCGGCGCAGCGAGGTCCGAGTCGGATAGCGATGCTCTTTTCCAGACAAAGCCAGGTCCCGAAGCCACCCGACCCACCGTGCCCACGTGCATCTCAGCCACCATAGCGGGAGTGCTTCATGTTCTTGGTCTTCGTCGCAATCCAGCCACCCAAGGTAGAGAATTCCATGGATTCAGGCTCCATACCCATTGTGTAGCCCTCTCCTTGAAGCGACACGAGCCCAAAACACAATCATCCCCCACTTGTCCAGAACTGTCTCTGCCCAAGAACCCCTAAAGGAACCAAGATAAAGATTTCAGACAAACCATCGCTATTGGGTTGGAGGCCATCGCTAGGTAGGGGGATCGCGAGCCCTTGCTGAAGGTCCTTCAAAACTGGTCTGCGACCAGAACCCCGTGACCGTCGAAGCCACGAAGGACCCCCCCCCGACTCGGACCCCGTTGTTCGTGATCGTCTGACGGCTCATCAGTAGGAATGAAAGAAAGCGAGAAGGGCCACGGAGTTCAGAAGCCGTCGCCAAACCCAAGCTACCTTTGAAAAATCTGTGCCGAGCTTCTTTTCAAGGCCTCCTTTAAAGAGCTTCCTGTAATTCCAGCTTCAACGCATGCCAGCCGATCCTCCTCTCGGACCCACAAGAGCTTATCCATGCTGCGCAAATCCAGCGACACCACTGGTCTTGGGTCTTCACTGATGCTTGGGCAAGTAGTGGCAGAAGTGATGCCTGAGCGAGTGCAAAAGTTGGCCACTGATTCACTGCTTCACGGAAAGACGATGCGTTGTTTTTGCCGCAAAAACGCTGCTCACCTCCGCTTCGGAAAAATCTCGGCTGTGGTGAGCCAAAACCTCCCGCACTAGACCGGGTGTGGTTGACATCCCTTAAGCAGCGGCAATGTGTTCATGTTCCATGTGGTGGGGCAGGTCAACCAGCCCCCTGACTCGACCACTGTCCTTTGAAACAAAAAGACTTTGTTGACTCTTCTAAGCCCTGCCTGTCCGACCACCCACGGGAATTACAATGAAATGTCCGGCTGCTTGCTGCAGCACTGTAAGGACCTGAGCAGCCCGTTCAAAGAAATCGACCAAATGCAGGACACCTTCAGTCAGTCAGTAGCGGTTCCAACGTTGAAAAGGTGCTTCAACTCAAATTGGATGGAAAAGAAACTGCCGGGAACGCAAAAGCTCGACATAAAAGCTTGGATCCTGGCATCGTCTTCATGGCGTGGTTTCACCACCAGATCAGGCATTCGGAGGAAGGAACAGCCATTCCGAAGGCTCCAAAGCCCACCCAAGCCTCTGCCAGTTCCACTTCGCAATCTCTCTTTCGAATCCAAACTGATGTTGGGGAGCCTGGTCAACAACGCCACAGCATCTGGATCAGCTTCCACAAGCTCCACCTGGTCCACCGTGGAAGACACCGCGTGGCCCTTGAGGCCACCGTGCATTTGGCCAAAAAAAGACCAAAGTCCATTCACCATGCCGCCCGCCGCAATGGCCTTGGGATATCGCTCTGAGGTCAGGTAGACCTCACGATGGCCCGCAAAAAGGTCTGCTTCGAAGCGGGTGTCCTCGAAGCCCCACCTGTCCAAGGCCTCATCGCACGACTCTCTCGGGACACCACGGTGTAGGCGGGCACCGGAAGAGGACTCAGAAGGCGGGAAGAAGGACGATGAGATTTGCTGCAGCCTTCAAGGCACCAAAACGACCAAGAAACGACCGATCTCTTAGGCACGAACTTCTTGCGATGTGAGCCGCCTACACCGCCTAAACCGTCTCCAACACAAAAACAGTTCTCGCATGGCAGCTTCGATTTGCGCGTGTGATTCATCGAATTGCACAGCCCAGTCCTTTCAGGCAAGGCAGACATCGTTAAGAAAGCATTGGTCATCCAGGCCTTCATAGAGGTCGTCACAAGATGTCACAAGTCCAAGACTTGATGAAGAACTGCAAACATGGGCAGTTCTACGCATCCAAATATCAGCCTCCATATATATATATATAGAGAGAGAGAGACCCCAGCAACTTTTAGCTAAGCTACAAGCATGAACCAAATATATACACTACATAACTTACATAGTATATATGCATGTGGAGCTGCGTCATGTTGCGTCAGTGTTTCCAAGGAAAAAGTTTAAAACAAATGCACACCTGTCCCAACATCAAGACTTCGAAGGGCTAAGAATTCGATCTGACTCCACGTCGTCGCTATCAAATAGAAAGAGTCACAACGTGCAACTACAACACGCTTGAAATACAGTATATACAATAAATTACTTTTCATGTGATGGATTGGGCTTGATTCGGCTTGATTGTTGGTGAAATGCTTGGCTTGTGCAAAAGATTGGTGCGGCTCTCCTCCTTAAAATGGAAGTGGGCATGGCCCCTGAGAAGACTGCCTTCCTCTACAAATACATAGAGTAGGAGGTGTTCTGCTTCCCTGGTGAGTCATTCAGGTGCCTTCTGCAACAGTCAGCTCACAATCCTCCCACCTGCGAAGAACTGGGCTGCGCCGGGCTCAGAGGCGCTGCGCCCGATGCATCTGCCGCAGCCAAGGGTGTGCCTTCGATGCTTCAAGGTGCATGAAAAAATAAGAGCTTTTCACAAGAGTAGCCACAAAAGCTGTCGCAAAAAGGTGTCAAGCACCAAAAGGGAGCTTGTAAAGGGGACCAAGCTGCTCTCACTTTTGCTTGTAACCTTCTGCCGCCAGCCCGGAACAAACTCATCTGCCAGCTTGCAGTATTCTCGCATCGCATCTTGTTTGCTCATGTCTTGAAGCGTAGACCAAGCATCCCATTTGGCCCTGGCAACCTGATCAAAAACACCAGGTCTGGAGCCCTTCACTGGGCCTTCCTTAGCTTGCTTGTAGTGCGCGTACAAACGCAACTTGTTCCTGTTGTCCAGGAAAGAAAGGGTCTTCACAGCAGCCTGCGCGGCTGCAAAAAGGGCCTCA